CAGAAAATGCAGACATAATCAAGGCTGAATGTGAATTGGTTAGATGTAAAGAACTGACTGTCTTGCCTGGTGATATAAAAATTAGAGCCCATTTTCTTAATGACAGGAAGAATAATGTCTTCCTTCCAAATTCTCAAGTGTTCAAACCACAGTCTTATTTAAGTGGATTTTTTTGACACAAGTTTTAAAATAAAAAAATGATTGAACCATAATCTTTCTTATTTAAATTCTTCATTTCTCTCTTTCAACTACAGAAGTGCACAGTAGTAAGAGTTTTAGAGGCTGCTTGGTGCAAATCCCTGCTGAACCACATCCCCTAACTTCTCCATGATATAGTTTCCACAACTATAAAATCAGGCTACAGTAATAACTTAGAAATAACAGCATATATGTCATAGAATTTTTATGAGCATTAAATAAGATAATGGTGAGTGTTCAGTAAGTGATAGTCCTAGCTTCATAGGAAAAGTAGTCATTGTCATAAAGTTTCTTACTGTACCTAGAGTTTGAATTCCATCTCATCTTTTAATTATTTTCTTCTTTCACTTTACTGATCTACTTTAAACAAAAGTGTAACGATACAGAAGGTAACTACTTGGTGTATCAGTCTTCAATATACATTGATAAAACTCAATATACATTGAGGCAGTCAATATTCTAATGTCTTACCATGGGTAGCTTAAAAAAATTATTCTATTGATTCACCCGAGAGTTAAACATGCTTCAATTTTTTTTTTCTGTTTTAAAAATGCAGACTATCTAGTTCTTTATATAGCTGTTGAATTTAAGACTATGTACACTTACATCATATTTTCAGAAATCCACTTTTTGGGCTGGACATGCTGGCTCACACCTGTAATCTCAGCAGTTTGGAAAGCCAAAGCAGGCAGAAACCCTGCGGTCAGGAGTTTGAGACCAGCCTGGCCAACATAGCAAAACCCCCTCTGTACTACTAAACATACAAAAATTCGCCTGGCATGGTGGTGGGCACCTGTAATCTCAGATACTCAGGAGCCTGAGGCAGAAGAATCGCCTGAACCCGGGAGGCAGAGATTGCAGTGGGCCGAGACCACGCCACTGAATTCCAGCCTTGGCGACAGAGGAAGACAGTTTCAAAAAAAGAAAAAGAAATCCACTTTTTGGATTCGCTTCATGTGCTGCGTGGTCAGAGGGTGCACTCACACCTGGCTGTTCTACTTCCACTCTATCCCTGCCTATGTTTTAAAACCAGCTTAATTCTAGACCCCCATTCTACCACATGTCTTCAGACTTCTGCTTTTGGTTTCTTTCTTTTTCTTTTTGATGCCTTTCTTTCATGTAGTCTATAGATTACCTTAGGCCTAATTTTAATCGAATGATAACTTTGCTTTCCTTCTGTTTTCCTACATGAAATCAAGTTCGCAGGGCAGTTTATATTTTTGTTTTAAAAATTAAACATTTTTTAAAAGTCAGAAATTATCCTAAGCATCACCTTAACATCTTTTATTAACACAGATGATAATAAATAAAGATTCAACCACTTAATAGTCTTCCCTGAGAAGCTGTTACCCTGTTTCCTTCCCATTGCATTCCTGTTGCCCAGTTATTTTAAATTATAGATATCAAGTCAATGTAAAATTGAAAAATAAATGGTCATTGTTAGCCTGCAATTTAGTATTTTGCATCACTTTAAATTACATAAGAATATTTCAATTGTTATAGCAAAGACTAAGAAAAAACTTCAGGTAAACTTTCTGTTCTAAGACCTTTTAACCATAAATGTCTTATGCATTAGAATGCCTATTATCAAGAAACAAAGATATTTTAAGAGATATCACAGTATTCAGGTATGTACATCTAAAAGCCAGAAAGGTTACAAAGAAATAGCAGAATGCATTGAAACTACACAACACTCTTACCAGAAAGAAAGATGGAGGGAGGAAAAGAGGAAGAGAAACCAGAGATCAGACAATTGGCTCAAATAGTGAAACTTATCTAAAAATATTCCTCTTCCCAAGAGAAAACACCCCCCCCCACAAAAAAAGAAAGGAAAAAGAAAGACAGCACCCGTAAACTTCCATTTATTTGAAATTCAAATCTCATCCTAAGTTTGAAGTGAAATCCAAATACTTTTTCACTTAAAAGCAGGTTTTAGCAAATGGATTTGAGAAAAGCAAGTCTATGAAGGAAAAAATGTTTAGAATCAGATCCTGAGAGATCACATGGATTTTTTTCAGGGCTAACTCTTACGCATCCTCCTGCCCTACAAACCCACCAGAAGTCTATCTGTCCATAGAAAAGGCAGATAGACCAACAAATTAAAGAAATATACCTGAAAAACAAATTTCTGAAGGAATAACCACTTTTTCAAAAATTGTAGTTTCACTGAATGAAAAGTCATTGTTGTAGCATCAAGTTAATAGATAAAAGGCGGTAAGAAATGAACATACTTAAGCACAATACTTAGTACTACCTATGCCATCAACATACCAAAATGGAGTTTATAATCTGTTTGAAGAAAACTGTTAGACTTTTTAAAGTTGGCAGCCAGTTAAAAAAGGAAGGAAAGAATAACGAAAAAAAGAACTGACAACCAATAGATGCTTTTACAGGTTAAATCTTGCTGAAGGTAAGTTATCCCCTCAGTACACTTAGATTTATTTAAGCTCACCACATTTCTCTTAAATACACTCCATTAACAAGTGATAGACTGTGATCTTAGGCTCAAGGCAAGACATGAAACACAATCTTTCAAGAACTTCATTCATTCTCTGACCAGGTGTCTTGAACACAACCAGGTTACTAGTTACTTGAGTTCTGTGAGGTTTTATTCAAATGAACAGTGTTGCTTTATAACAGAATATTGTCATGAAATCACCCTAGCCACTCAATAGTTTGGCCTCCCAAGTTCAGATTCACAGCATGAGTAAAAGTTATGAGGAATAAAAAGCTTCAGGTTATGTCTGAGGGAGCACTTTAGAAAGACGCTTTTGTCCTGAAAAGTGGCAAAGTAGATAGGCTCACCAAGAGGAAAAACTTAGGTTTATAAAAATCATCAATGACTTAAATGGAAAATTAAATTAGAAACATGAAGCTAGAAATCAGTGTAGCTCTAACATTATAATTGTCTCATATCTATTCAAATTACAATCTTCAGATACTAATTACTAATCAAATTATAAATCCAATAGGACAGTACATTCCCAGATAATTCTCCAAGTGAAGACAGAATTTGCAAGTTGACACCACCAGCTTTCAATGATACCCTATTAGTGTGACCCTATCTTTAATCTACAGCCATGATAAAATGTTCCAACATATACAAACTCAACTCAAACAGTGACTAATGACCATTAATCCTCCTATCTTCAATAATCTGCTCCTGCAGTCATTTATCACAATGACACTTCACTTTACACATATGAATAAACTTTAACCAGAAAGGTGAATCAACAAAAATCTCAAAGGTATCTGAAGCTGTAAATTAAACTAGGGAGAGACACAGCCAAGAGAGGCAAATAGAGAGATTCAATTTTAATGTTTTTGATTTGCATCTATGGCTAGGGGTCGGGTATTGGAAGGACTATTCAATCACTCAGATATGCATACTACGGAAAAATAAGGCATTACAGAAGGAGAAACTGGAAGTGGCGAATGACAACCCCAAGCAGTTAGCCTACTCATCCATCCACTGCGACGTAGATGAGATATCCCAGGTTGAAACTTCAGTTTCTGTTTTCTTTAAAGGAGTAACAATTTATTTTTTAAATTTACTTTGGTTGCAAATCTTCCTTGTAACTTCCAGTCAGCAAGCATAATTCATAGGCTAAAATTCTTCAGGGGTTTACTCGCTATCATTTAGCTGACGTGTGTGTATGTGGTGTTATTCCCCCCTTTTCTTATTCTCTTAACCATCTGCCTTAAGTAAAATCCCTGGTCAAAACATAAATGATAATCATAAACCACAAAAGCGCAAACAAACCCCTAAAAACGTTTCATAATTGTGCAAACTGAGTGACTCTTACCAATAAGCCCTGATGCAACTTGAAGCTCAGTATACGAACGTCTCTATAAAAATTCCCTGAGGTGCCGTGATACTGTGTGTGTGTGTGTGTGTGTGTTAAAGCCTGAAATCAGATCCGTGATTGAAACCAGAATCTACCAAAAGGAAAGAACAAAAGTTGAATCGTGGCTCAGTTCACCCATAGTAAAAAAGTTTCTTAGGGAGTGTAAGAAAACTATTTACAAGTGTAGATCCAGTGTGTACTCTTATGTCAGAAGGGTCCCGTTTCAGCATCCTTCCAACACTTCATATGGAGTTTCAGTGTTATTTCATTAATCCTAAACATCCCAAATTCAGCTGTTTTCTTTCCCCAATGAGAATTCCCAGGCAAACTGTCCCCTTTCCGATGCTAGCAACTGCCTGTTTTCCTTCTAAACCCAGCGAGGCAACTGCTATTTTATATCCTACGTTAGAAAGGAGTTATTTCATGAAGCTTCTTCAGAATCAAATTTAATTACAGACTTTGGTTACATAAAACAACTACTAATAACCCCTTGTGCTCAGAAGAGGAGGGGCAAATTGAAGGACCAGTTTCAGGAATTTTGGCAAGCCTGTGGGCCACAAGCTCCCAGGGTGCACATTTCCCTCCCCAAGAAAGCAATACTTCAGAGCATCCTGGGGGCCCTAGCTCACTGCCAACCGCTGCCTCCTCCCACCCTGGTGCTTAGACCTGCGTTTGCCCAGAGTAATCTGGGCGTGCCCTGAACTTGGCAAAAAGCCGAGGTCTGCAAAGAGTCTTGAGGAGGTTCGGGGGTGGAGGGGAGGTTTTGGGAAATGGGGGGAAAGAGGCAGCCCCAAATGTGCACTAGGAACATTTTCGCCCAAGTCTTGCAGGAATCGAGCTGCTCCGGCCTTAGGAGGGAGGGGTAACCAAAATGCAATTCTGGGTTTGATTTTGAAAAGTGGAGAGGGGGAGAGCAGAGAGGATCAAGGGTGAAGAAAGAAGACGCGGCGTTACCTGAACAGAGACATATCAATCCAAACAGGTAAAAGTGAGCAGGCTCCGCAATCATTGTCCTCGGGTGGATCCTGCATACAGTCTCATGCCAAGAGGAGTGAGTAGGAATAGGTCCCCAAATGTATGAAGTCACACACCACACACACCCCACACAAAGGCTTAATATAAGCAACGTGGGTCAATTAGCCAGGAGTTTTCAGGGCAAATTACTTGTCGACCTTTCCGGACGCTTGTCAATAGCTCAGAGCCTTTTTGCAGTGGAAGAATTCCAAGGTTGGTCTTCTGCGGCCCCAGGATCTCCGAGGAGGCTCAGACACTTTGAAGAACCATCCAAAGCGAACAACAAAGAGCCGAAGCAGAAGCGCAGTAGTGCCGTTTCCTGGCTCCACAGTCTGGCTGAGCCGCCCGGCGTGCGCCCCACGATGTGCGCCCGAGCGCCGCTGCGAGGGCAGGCGCGGCGGCGGCAAAGTTGGGGTGTGAGAGCGGCTCAGGGAGGGCCAAAAAGTGCTCCTCCGTCTCCGGGCGAGCCCAGTCAGCAGCGGGCCACCCGCGGCGGCGGCGAGAGCAGCCCCAGGAGCAGCAGCAGCTCCGGAGGACGGGCTCGGGGTGCCGGGAGTGCGGCTGGGTGACTCCGCGCGCAGGGGGCGAGCGAGGGGGCGGTGCGGCGACGGCGGCTGCCTGGGCGGGCCCTCGTTCCCATCACTTGGGGGATGCGGAGGGCACTGGGGACAGCAGCGGGACCGCGGACACTCGCACGCCTTCCGGGCGCCCCCAGCCCGACGCGGCGCCCACCATCGCCCCCGGCCCCCCGCCCTCTGGGGCGCGCGCAGGCACCCCCAAACTACGCTGAAGCCCAAACTTCCCGGGGGTAGCGGCTGGCACGCCTGGCTCGTGGGCGCGGGGAAGAGGCAGCTGCCGGCTCTGCCCGGGGCGGCGGCGAAGGGCAGGGAGGATGCTGCGCGGGTGGGAGGGACGGCCGCCGCGGCTCACCCGGGCTCCTCCGGGAGCGGCCGCGTCCGAAGTTTCTGCTCTCACGCCGCCTCCGCTCCGGCTCCGCCGCCTGTGGGTTTCCCCCGCAGTCCCCGCGGCTCCCGGTTTCCTCCCGCTCCTCCCCGGCCCGAGAACTTAAAGGGGCCGCGCGGTCCTTTCCGCGCTTCACGACACACTACAGGCGCTGGCCAGGCAAGTTCTGCTCCTCAGTATTTCCACCCACAAGCCAGGGGTGCCCAACTGCGCCCTCAGGTGAGAATCCAATTGCTCAGAATCGGAAATCCAGGCGCAGGAGAACCAGTCTTGCTTCTGCCGCCACCCCTAGCTCCCCTGCACCTTTCTCCAAATGGAACCTCCCAGCCAAAGACTTCAAAAGTCCTCCTGGTCCAACTTAACCTCTTCCTTGCCGCTTCCATGGATTGGAATAAACTCCTAAATAACTCCGCTCTCACTTCTCCCCATTCCCATTTAAAAAATAAATCAATAAATTTTGAGTGACATGCCTTTAGTATACAGGAGGTAAACAGAGAACATATTGGGCATTCCGTGACAACCATCCTTTCCTTTTAAGTTGAAGTTGTTGAAACTCTTGTAGGAAAGATACCCGAATCCTAAGGCACAGGGTCGGGCCTTGGGATCATTTCGTTATGTTTCATTTGAGACCCTCTCTTTCAACTTCTTAGACTCCACACATTAGAAAGCTAACAATGGGGAGGTAATTTTAAAGAGAGAGAGAGAGAGAGATGCAAAAGCGTTTGCAGTTATGAGAAGCTAGTCAGCATTTCAAAACCAACAGGCAAAGGCTTTCACACCCAGTAGACCAGCCCTGAAATCCCAGCCTAGCAGTTATTACCTCTGTGCCCAGGTCTGTTTTCTCTTCTCTGTTTCTATTCTTGAGATACTTCACTCCATTAATAAAAAATACACAAAGCAAAACAAACCTGACACAACTGACAGGCATTCATTCATTGACTCAGTCATTTTTCTTTTTTTCTATTAAGTAAGACACAGTCGCCAGGTGCTGTCGCTACCACTTGTAATCCCAGCACTCTGGGAGGCTGAGGCGGGCGGATCAACCTAAGGTCAGGAGTTCAAGACCAGCCTGACAAATATGGTGAAATCCTGTCTCTACTAAAAATACAAAAATTAGCCGGGGGTAGTGGTGTTCCCCTGTAGCCCCAGCTACTCGAGAGGCTGAGACAGGAGAATTGCTTGAGGCGGAGGTTGCAGTGAGCCAAGATCACTGCCACTGCACTGCAGCCTGAACAACAAAGCGAGACTCCATCTAAAAAAAAAAAAAAAGGCACAGTATCTTAAAATACCTAACATGCTGAATAAATGGCAGAATTATTATTTACAGAGTTGTGTACCATAACTTCAAAAAAACTATTTCGTATCTAGCACTATGTGTAAGAAGCTGCTTTCAGTGGCTGCCTCTAAAGGAGAGAACTGCACAGTGTCTAGGGCAGAGAAGGAGGGTTTGCTCTTTTCTAGGTAATATTGTGCTTTTCCATTTATTTTCAGGTGAGCACATTTATTACCTAATGGAAGATAAAAATTTTAAAGCAAAGTTTGTTGCTGCTGGCACAACAAATGGCTTTAGAGCAACATTTTGTGAAAACTCTGGTTAACAGCACATATCTTTGAAAGTGAAAGATAGTTTAATACTGAGAAAACTGACTGTAAATTCAGTAAACAGGCTGAAGATAAGAATTCAAAGACTCCAACCAAAATCTTTTCAGCAGTAAAAATATGAATGGGCAGTCAAAGCTGAAAAGCAAACATCAATTTGGTCTTGTGAAAGGATATTTAGTGAGAAACATAGAATATATCTCCTTTTCTTGGAAAAAGAAAGTACTTTTAAGATAAGCTTACTTAATAGCAAATAAATGAATACTAAAGTGTGCTACTTAAAAGAAAGAGAGCAAGAAGGAGGGAAAATTCAAATCCACATATCATTTGAGTGCATATTAAATAAAGATGTCAAACTTTCACTTAGCGATAGGGGTATACTTTTAAACACAATGAAGAATATGTATAGCGATCCCTATTGCATCGTTCCCGAAAGTGGATCACCTAGTCTCTAGAAGTTTGCTGATATCTCTCAAGATCTCTTTTGCCATTTATCTAATTGAGTGCCAACCATGTTAATACCACCTTATAGTTCTCAACTTCAGTAAATTACACCCATCCGTCCTCTCTCTTCCACCCCTAGAGATGATATTACCTAGGAGAGTCAGCAGTAAGTTTCCTCAAGGAACTAACTTTTGGCCAACCCCTGATGAAGACCATCATCACCAACTCAAATATGTTAGTCCTTTCTGTCCATTATATCAGTAAAGATGGCACATAAAGACAAGAACTTGTATTCAGAAGGCAGTATGAATCTATAAGAAATGAAACTCAATGTACCTGAAAACTTTTGTATTTACTTCCTTTTTCTCACTATTACCCATGCCAACAAACACTTACTGAACATTATCTATGTGCAGGAAACAGTAAAGTGTGCTGTAGGGACAAGATGCAAATATCATCCCTTTCATCAGGCTTTTAGCGCTCCTGCTGTGGGGACCTACATGAAACAGAACAGGCTCCAGAGTGGATTCTGTCTGAAAAAATGAAAACAAAGTGCCACTGGGGTTAAATGACATCCCAGTACATTCCTAGAGATGGATGGATCATAGCAACTTGTCACCTTTTCACTTTTGCTCCTGAACTTTAAATTACCTAGAAGAATGCATGAAATGCTCCATGTCTCTCTGTGAGTGCCAGTGCAAGTGTGAGCATATACATGTGGATAGGGAATGGACCCACATCAGATTTTCAGGCAACTCTGACATGTACAAGAGAAACTTGACTCATTTCAGTTTGCATGGGAGACACAGCGCAGGGTAAAGAGAAAGTAATTTAACTTGTACTTGGTAACCCTGTTCTGATCACTATGATTTGAATGAAGGGTGGATTCTAAATTTCCATTTAGAGAATTCTCATCTCATTTGGAGCCTATGAAATTCAGGACCCCCAAAATGTAGGATCTCCCCTGAGAATTTTGAAGAAGCCTGAAAATAATACATTCCAGTAGTCCCGTGAAGAAGGGCTTTTTGACAGTCAAAATTCTATGGCAGTCATGATCTCTTGTGTTGCCCCAGTCTGATTATACCTTTCATGGAGGTAGCCACAGGAACTCAGGAAGTAACAGCACAACCAGGGTGTCTTCAGGGATTGCAGATAACACTTACTCAGTTGAGTAGGAGTGAAATAGAGTTTCTAAGGTAAGTGGAATACAAACCGGAACATCTCTCTTGCCTTCTTAGCAAAAAGCCTTTGATTCAGACTGAGGCTGGGATACAAGCCACGAGTTCCAGCAAATCTGGTGAGAAGCTGTGTAACACATGCAGTGCACACCGAGCCTGTGCTGAATACTCCAAGATCCCATCCCTCAGAGTACAACAGTTAGTTTAGCAATTCTTACATGGTATTGCTGAATAATCTGTGCCATCTTTGGTATTTAAATTGATGAACTAAGATGAATGTTTGAATAATTGAACACTTGAATATTTTCCTAAGTTTGGGTTCGTAAGAAAAGTCTCATCTCAGAAAGCAAGCTAAAGTAATCCTAGTAAAGGGAGAGTACATTGAGATTTGTTGGAACATCCACTGTGTTTCAAGAAACCAGGCCTATTTAGTTTTAACTTTCCTGTTGAAGCCACATATGGTAGTTTCAAATGTACATAAGGTGCATTTTAACAGTATTACTTTTGTTTGCTTGCTTCTCTGCCACTTAAAGCAGGCAATTATGTGTTCCAAACCAAAAATCATAGGGAGGAGAGATTCCCAGGGTTATTAATCTTCACTTACTTAAAGACTTCAGGCCTTGTCAATGGTGCATATATATATATATATATGTGTGTGTATATATATGTGTGTGTATACACACACACACACACACACACACACACACACACATATATATATATATATATATATTTTAGGTGGAGTCTTGCAGTGTTGCTGGGGCTGGAGCGCAGTGGTGTGATCTTGGCTCACTGCAACCTCCACCTCCCAGGTCTAAGGGATTCCCCTTGCCTCAGCTTCCTAGGTAGCTGAGATTATAGGCACCGCCACCAGGCCCAGCTATTTTTTTTTTTCCTGTATTTTTAGTAAAGACAGTGTTTCACTATGTTGGTCAGGCTGCTCTCAAACTGTTGACCTCAGGATCCGTGATCCGCCTGCCTCAGCCTTCCAAAGTGCTGGGATTACAGGCCTGTACTGTGCCCAGCCGAGGCCAATATTTTTAACACAGCATTGTGAAGACATTGTAAAGGATCATCATCCCCTTGGTCCCATCAGATGATGTACTCCAGCCTCGCTATTGCTCTATAGGGCTCGTTTAAAAATATAAATTATGAGATACTCGACTTTGCTGTGGAATTACTGTGCTGCATTTGTCTTTTAGCAATTCAGCATCTCGGGCACATTGTAGATGTTCTAAAAAACTAGGTGCTGTCCTACTAAGTACTTTTGATAGAGCCTGGAACCTTACATATTAGCAACACTGGATTACTACTTTTATGTTAAGAGGGGGTGAGCTTTTGAAGATAAAGGAGAGGATACAGAAAAGTGGCACTAATTATGGGCACTGTTTGGGGTCCCTTACAAACATTATCTGATCTCTCACCACAGGCAAGTGAGGTGATGTTATTACCCACTTTAGAGATGATGTTGAGATTACATAATTAACTCAAAGTTAAGAGGCTCAGTAGCCAGGGAATTTATGTTTGAACACAGTTTGTTTTGAACTGAAGCACTTAAAGAAACAAAAATGAGTTCCATGGTAAGAAAGGCTTGGGAGACTTAGGATTCAATACATTTAAGGATTCTCCAAAGCCTTTAATATGCAGATAAGAATTTTGAGTCCCTAAGGGAGGATATTTATGAGAAATCTTGTCTCTTTAATAAACATAGTTCAGTTTATAGCATTTGACTATTGTGGTAATATTAATATCTCTAATACCCAATACCCTACACCTGAAAATTAAGAACTTCAGCTTTCCTGACTAAACTGCATATGATGATTACTTGGCAGTAAACTTAT